CTCTCCTCTCCTCTCCTCATACCCACAAAGTAAAATCAGCCCAAGCCGAAGCTCTCCCAATTCTCACGCCACTGGAAAGGCTCTGAACCACGTCCCAGAACCACATGGTGCCCAGATCCCAGTGGACCTTTGCCTGGATACATCCTCAAAGCCTCTCCTCCCGCAGCTGGAGGAGACCCAGTGGGTCCTGTGGGTGCCACGAGCTGCATGGGCCTCAGCAGTGTCTTTACCTGGATGAAAGCCGCTTGTTGGGTTTCCCAGCCTCCCACTCCACCAGTCGCCCTAAAATTCCGTCCGGGAAGAGTGGGGGTCATGGAGCTGCTGGCTTCCCGGCAGGGCTTTCATCCTCCCCGGCAAAGTTGAAAGCCGGTCAGGGCGTTATCGGGAAGGAAAACAGAGCCCGTGTGATTTATGCACCCGGGCGCGGAGCGGCAGCGACGCCGCTGCTATCAAGAGCCGCAGAGAAAAATGGGGCTGGGGGGTTTAACCAGGTTTTAACCCTGTGCTGGGACCTGCAGAGGGAGCGGGAACGGGGGGCGGGAACGGAGCCCCCGCTGGCTGCCTGGGCCATGCCCAGAGCAACCCTCATCCCATCCTCATCCCTGTCCTCATCCCCATTCCTAGTACTATCCCTATCCCCATTCCCATCCCTATCCTATTTCCATTACCACCAACCTCATCCCTATCCCCAGCCCCATTCCCAGTGCATCCTCAAGCCTCTTCCTGTCCCCATCCCTATTTCTAGCCCTCTTCCCTTTCCTAATCCCTACCCCCTCTCTGATTCTATCCCTATCTCTATTGCCATTTCTGGCCCCATCCCAATCCCTATCCCCATCCCTATTTCCATCCCTACTCTCTTTCCCACACCATGCCCATCCTTGTCCCTATTCCCATTCCCATCCCTTTCCACATCCGTATTTCTATCCCTATTCCTGTCCAAATTCCCATCCCTATTTCTATGCCTGTCCCTATCCCCATCCTCATTCCCAACACATCTCCATCCCTGACCCTAACCGTATCACAATCCCTCTCTCCACTCTCACCCCATTCCTAACCCTCTTTCTATTCCTTCCTATTTTATTTCCCATCCCCTTTCCAATCCCCATTCCTATCTGAAATCCCATCCTTACTCCCATTCCTCTCCCTAGCCCCATTTCTGCCCTCATCCCCATCCCCATCCAGAGGCCTTGGAAGAGGCGAATCCTCCCTGCGACCGCAGCTCTGCCGCCTGCCTGAACTCCGGCGTGAACTTTTGTCCCCGGTTTGCACCGGAGTACGGGGGTTTTCAGCTCATCCCAGAGCCCTGAGTCAGAGGCGATGGAGCGGCTCGTGTTTCCCGCGGGAGCAGCTGCAGGGAGCAGAGGCGGGAATGCGGCATGGGGCTTTTTTTCTCCCCTTAACATACTGTTTGTTCAGGAACTTCAAGGAGAAACCGGCTCTTATTGGAGCAACCTGGGAAGAGCCGTCGGGGCGGGAATCCCATGCGTGCACCCACGGGCAGCGAGCGCGCACACGCGCCGTGCACCGACACGCACGTGTGTGCACGTACAGCAAGCGCAGCTCGTGCTTGCACGCGTGTGCACCCCGCGCCTCTGCACCCTCCCTGGCCCGCGTGCAAACCCTGGCCGCGTGTTTGCACACGCGTGTGCATGTGCATGCAAACCCACGGCCATGCACGTGGGGCCGGCAGCACCCTCAGGGCCTCATCGAAACACCCTCACTGCGCCCGAGGCGATGTGGGGAGCACCCGGGGACACGCTGTCCCCCTGTCCCCAAAGACAGCGCCGGCGGCTGCTCAGCCCCAGCCCCCAGATCTGGCTGGGATTAGGCAGGTTTGGCACATCCCACTTTTCCAGGCACCTCGGGCAGGCAGCAGGACGTTGATGCCCAAAAGCCATCTTGGGGTGTCCCTACGGACCCCACTCCTCCTTTCTCTTCCCCCCACTCCTCCGCTCTCCTCCCCGCGTGTCGGGTGGGTTGGATTGCAGAAGGGGAGCGAGGCCCAGCCCTGGGCTGCACCTCCCTCCACTGCCGCCCGCGCTCCTCGTCCCAGCCTCCTGGCGGAGTTGGGTTCCCTTCCTTTGTCCTTTTTCACCCCTGGGCATGTGGTGATGTAGAAATAAGTGACATGTAGAAATTAATGAAAAGGAGAAAAAGGAGAAAAAGGAGAAAAAGGAGAAAAAGGAGAAAAAGGAGAAAAAGGAGAAAAAGGAGAAAAAGGAGAAAAAGGAGAAAAAGGAGAAAAAGGAGAAAAAGGAGAAAAAGGAGAAAAAGGAGAAAAAGGAGAAAAAGGAGAAAAAGGAGAAAAAGGAGAAAAAGGAGAAAAAGGAGAAAAAGGAGAAAAAGGAGAAAAAGGAGAAAAAGGAGAAAAAGGAGAAAAAGGAGAAAAAGGAGAAAAAGGAGAAAAAGGAGAAAAAGGAGAAAAAGGAGAAAAAGGAGAAAAAGGAGAAAAAGGAGAAAAAGGAGAAAAAGGAGAAAAAGGAGAAAAAGGAGAAAAAGGAGAAAAAGGAGAAAAAGGAGAAAAAGGAGAAAAAGGAGAAAAAGGAGAAAAAGGAGAAAAAGGAGAAAAAGGAGAAAAAGGAGAAAAAGGAGAAAAAGGAGAAAAAGGAGAAAAAGGAGAAAAAGGAGAAAAAGGAGAAAAAGGAGAAAAAGGAGAAAAAGGAGAAAAAGGAGAAAAAGGAGAAAAAGGAGAAAAAGGAGAAAAAGGAGAAAAAGGAGAAAAAGGAGAAAAAGGAGAAAAAGGAGAAAAAGGAGAAAAAGGAGAAAAAGGAGAAAAAGGAGAAAAAGGAGAAAAAGGAGAAAAAGGAGAAAAAGGAGAAAAAGGAGAAAAAGGAGAAAAAGGAGAAAAAGGAGAAAAAGGAGAAAAAGGAGAAAAAGGAGAAAAAGGAGAAAAAGGAGAAAAAGGAGAAAAAGGAGAAAAAGGAGAAAAAGGAGAAAAAGGAGAAAAAGGAGAAAAAGGAGAAAAAGGAGAAAAAGGAGAAAAAGGAGAAAAAGGAGAAAAAGGAGAAAAAGGAGAAAAAGGAGAAAAAGGAGAAAAAGGAGAAAAAGGAGAAAAAGGAGAAAAAGGAGAAAAAGGAGAAAAAGGAGAAAAAGGAGAAAAAGGAGAAAAAGGAGAAAAAGGAGAAAAAGCTTGTGCTGTGGAGACGTTGTTAAAGATGCCCTGAGCTGTGTCTTTTCCCCGGCTCTGGCAATAAATATGTCCGAGCTCTCGTTTTGGACCCAGAAAGGGGCCTCGAAAAGTTTGGTCTTTCAAACTTCTCTCTGGTTTTTGCCCATGAAGGGGCAGCGGATGTTCTCGGCTCGCGATGGTGGGGGCTGCCGCGCTGGGGCCGAGCCCGGAGCACGGCCACAGGCAGCTCCGGAGAGGCTCCTTGCTCTCCTCCCGCGTGTTCCCCTGCGGCGCTGGAGGCCTCCGCGCGCCGAGAGCCTCGGAGCCCTCCGTGGTGCTGAGGCTGCCTGTTTGGCTGCGCGCTGGTGTCTGCTCTTAGAGCCTGGAGCAACCCAGCTGCCCGGGGCACGCCAGGGACGAGTGTCTCCACCTTCCTCGCGGGGAGCAGAAGCTGCACGGAAGAAAGTGTGTTTTGTGCCTAGGTTGTATGTGATTGATGTGTAAACACAGGCTGCAGCGGTGCTGCGTGTTGGCCGACCCCTCCGCGTGCTCTGGAGCCGAAGTTGCTGGTATTTCGACCCAGGGCGCTGCTGGTTTGTCAAAGTTTGCCATCGGGCAGCGGGCGGGCTCTGGCGCCCGGGTGCAAAAAGCGGCGGCTGCAGCAGCCGACACGGGGCTGAGCCGGGGTGTTTGTAGCAGGTTCCTGTAGCCTCCCTGCAAACAGTAACTCGTGGTTCAGTACAAATGAGCTGTGCTACATTTTGACCAAGTGGTTGTAACTTCGTATGCAAGGTGGCAACATCAGGAAATCCACCTTTAAATTTCTTTTACTTGGGTTTATGCCTTCGTCGTTGTCTTTTTTGAATAAGACCTGAACAGGTGGCCAAGCTTAGTGAGATGACTTTATATCTTTAAATATTCTCAATTGTGACAATACAGTTGTATCTTTCAATTAGCTGGGTTAAGATCTGCATTACTTACCAGTGTAGATAAAATGCTGTAGCAAAGATAGAGAGTCATTTATAAGCTGTGCATTTAAACTCTCTGCTCTCCAGCCTTGCAGGCCAGGCTGAATTCCACTGTTGTCTAACTGTATTAAAGGTAACTTTTTCTCTCTAGTGAAACGTGATGTCCAGGAAAATGACGAAGAAGCGGTGCAAGTCAAAGAACAGAGCATCCTGGAACTGGGGTCGCTTTTGGCCAAGACTGGGCAAGCAGAAGGTGAGCCTGAAATAAGCAACGGAGGTGCTGCAAAAAAGACATCTGCATGCCAAGAAATCTAGCCTCTTTATTCCACAGGATAGAAATCAAAGCAGGGTCAGACAGGAAAAGTTTACTGTCCCGTGAGAGACAGGGCAGAAAGTAGAAAACTAGAGAAAACAACAAAATACGAATCTTGTACTTTATACCCCGATATTCCAAACGATTGCTGGTGCGTTGGAAAGTGTCATTTGTGAAAGTGTTGCTTTTATGAAAGTGTGGTTTTGATGAGTCGTTGTATTGGATATGAGAAATTTCTCCTTTGATTTCCTTTTAAAAATTTCAAACCCTTGTTTCAAATAGGAAAATTTGTCCAAAACACCTTTCCTCAGCAGCAGTTTCTTTCTCAATTAATTGATTCATCTGCTGAAACAACATTACAACAGAAAATCCTTGGCCGGCTCTATGCAAGAGCAAGACTTGACAGTCCCTCCGATTGTGAGTGTGAAAAGGCAGACGTGGAGGAACGTTCCCTCTTGGATGGTCTGCAGTAGGATCTGCTCATAGCTTCTGTTTGCTGGGGAGCCCAAGGCAGCGGGTGTGTTTGGCGGGCCGCAGCTCCGCTGTGTTTTGCTCTGGGAACCGCCCTTGCCTTTCGGGAGCACCTTTCACCTCGAGTGTTTCAGAGCTGATGCTCCCCGGCCGCGGCGGGTGCCCGGCTCTGCCGGAGCCCTGCTGTTTCCTACGTGTGCCCAGCAGTGAGGACGGGAAGCGGCTTTCCACGGACTGAAACTGCTTGGGGAAAACTGGCCCGCGGAGCGTTCAATCAGCCTGAAATTCAGCTGGATGCCAGAGCGGATGGTAAAGTGCTTCATGGAGAGCAGTGCGAGGTCTCATATAACAGCTGATCAAGATCACAGTTTTATATTTAGTCAGAAACCCGGACCTTTTGTCCCGCTCCCTTTGTAAACGTATATTTTGACTTGGCCGTTTAACCGATCTGCCCACGTCTACATGTGTTTGAGCATTCTGGACACTGATCCCGCTGCGATTTGCAATTGAACAGAGCTTGTGACAAAGTAGATTACTCGCACTTAGAGCGATGCTGGAAACAAAGGTGCTATTCATCTTACCTAACTATAGATGCACGCAGCTGATTTCCAGCCTGGGCTGCCTTTATAGTCAGGGGAGAAAAACAACCCCCTCCAGCACCCGGTTTGTCTCCTCCTACAGCGAGTGTTTGGTGTGGGACACGCGACGCGGGGTGCAAAAGGGCTTATTTGTGTAACTGAATTTTAAGGGACCCTGGTCAGCCAGCTCCTGTAGAGGTGTCTGTGTCCCACGCGTGTCCTTTGCCTGCTGGGGTTTGCTTCTGGGGAGGTAACGAAATGTCACTTTGTACCTGCACCAAGAGGGGTCGTTTGGGGCTGTAGAGGGAGAAATCCTGAGAAGAGCAATCAGATTTTGAAGGAAATAATTTATGTGGAGCTGGTCTACGAAGCCTAGGAAAAGAGATCTTTTAGGTGCCTGAGGCTTACTTTCTGTTGCAGGATTTGCGTATTTTTGAGTTTAAGCCTAAGTCTGGTACCCGAGTAGGAAGAACTTCAGTGTACACTCGCTGCAGGGCTATCTAGCAGTTTTCATACAGAAAGCTAAATCATTCAAAATGACATTAATTTATCAAATCCAGGTTATGAAGGAGTAAACGTAAAGTGTATCTGATCTCCATTGAAGAGCAGGCTCAACTGCACAGCAAGTGGATTTTGAACAGAAAGAAATGAATTGGGCAACATCCAGAAGCTCCGTATCTGTGCATCCGAGTGAGCTCCCCACGTTTTGCTTTCTGGAGATTTCTGGTGAAGCTCAGGGAGGAAGAAAGGAGCTGAAAGAAGCACTGGCCCTGTGGGAAAGACACCACCACCTTCCTGCTCTCCTCTTTCCAGGGTCAGGTAGACGGATAGGAGTGACAAGCCGTCAAGACCAGCACCCCCCTCGCCTGTTCCTAAAGACGCCGGCGCAGGAGGACGCGCCGCTCTGCAAAACACAGCTGTAGTCTTTAGAGCACTAACCTTTCCGGGGCTACCGTCTTTCTCTAAAAACAAGCAGCCAAATACAAATAACCCTGTCTTTATGTGCAGGATAGAGAGTAAGGTTTGATATTTATGTTTTTCACACAGTGCTAGGTTTTGTAGCATTGCCTAAACCTAAGGCATCAGAATAACCTCTTCAGGTGAGGAGCTGCGGTGAGTGGCTCCATAGGCGGTGGAAGGGCTGTTTCTGAGGGTGGACAACAGGCTTCGTTTTCCAGGGCTGCTGCTTGTCAGCTCTCTCAAGCTGTCAATCACACCACTTTAGCAAGCGTTGCTTTGACTTAAAAAAAAAAGCTCCTAAAAATAGTTCCATTGATGGCAAAGAGAAATTTCTATGGGAACTTTCAGCTTCATGTATGAATTTACAGTTTGCAAAGCGTATGGATCTCCTAGCTGGCGGCTTGCAATTAGTGAATTCTCAGGCAGCTGTTGAGCAAGTGTGCAGAAAGATGAGGACTGCGGTACTTTCCATGTGGTTTTTGTTCTGAAGTTCCTTGCTTTTGTGGAAGTGTATGTTGTGCATTGAAGAAAGTGTGTTTAGTCACTCCTGAGAAGCTGGTGTAGTGCAGCAACCCACAGTGTGAAAAGTGGTGCTGTGTCTTGCTCGAGAATTGATGGACTTTGGTGGAGTCTTGTTTATTCTGGGAATTTGATAAGAAAGCCTGAAAAGCAGCTCCAAGCTAAGGATATAGTGACCTGGCCTGAAAAGAACCGGGCTGGCTCCTTGTGTGGAAGCTGTGTATTTTTGAGCGCTTATATTGCATTAAGGAAGAAATAAGAGCGTAAAGACCTGCCAGCAGCCGCTTCTCCTGCAAGGGCAAGGAGCAGACCTGGAGCCCAGCTTTCCGAGCGCGCATCGAGAGAGGGCAGCTCTGCAGAACAAACCTCTTTGAGGTGCTGCTGATGCTGGAAGAGCAGCCGCCAGCTGCTGTCAGAGCGCGCGGCTCCCCGTGTGTGGAAACCATCGAGGAACACATTTGCTTTTCATTCACATGATCTGGATTCGCGTGCGCCGGTGCCACGGGCGTCCTCGGAGCGGGGGCCGTGTCCCTGCGCAGCCGCAGATCCTCGTCGCACAGACCCGGTGCCGGTGGAAGCTGTTGTTCAGCGGGGCTCAGTCTTCAAAGTTACGTTAGCATTAGCTCAGCTCTGGAAAAATCCAGGCCTTTATTTTTAGGCACAGAGAAAGGAGAACTTTTATGACGTTTTACACATAAGGATTTGTTCTGCTCCCGAAGCAGAGTCCTAATAGTTCGTTGTAGAGCGAATCGTAGTTTGTTGTCTTGCTGTTTGGAAAATAAGGCTCCTCTGGGCCTGAAAGGCACTCTCAAGATTTATAAGTTGCATTTGATTGAAAGCTGCATTTCCAGTTGCGTAAAGCTTGATGCACCTCCATTAGCAACTGGGACAGAGTATGCTGTGCATTCAATCTCTCAACGACCTAAGAAATACAATTGTATCAGGTTTGATTTAACTTTTAAAATGAATAGGTTGAGAATGTTTTTAAAAAAGCCTTCTAAAGGTACTGTTACCGTGTTGTTCTGGGATAATTCTTTTGCATTAATACCAAGTGAAATGTGAAACAAACTTTTCTTTCAGCTCTCTTCAGTGGGTTCTTTCAAAACTGAAATGCT